CATCGCTCTTGGTCATTCTGGAACATAAATATGTCAAGATTCTTTTTAAAAGTTTGTATGGATGGTGACATCACAACATCTGCGGAAAGGACATTCCATGGTTTGACCACTCGAACAGAGAAGGAGAACTTCCGTACATCCAACCTTGCATGCTGAGTGCGCAGTTTTAAGGGGAGATCTCGGAGGTTGGTCGTGGTAGCAAATTCAAAGAAGTCCTCGAAGGCCAAACTGCAATCTAACCCCTTAACAATGCGGAAGGCTTGCAAGAGATCCCCGCGAAGTTGCCTGTAACTCATACGAAATACGTTCAGATTTACTAGGCGAGTTGCATAAGGAAAGGAGCTTTGACCCCTAACCATCTTCGTGGCTCTCCTCTGGACCCTTCCGAGGCAGTTTTGATCCTCAACAGCCCACGGCCTCCAAGCTTGTATGCCGTACTCTAAATGCGGCCGGACGAATGTTCCGAATGTCTTGGAGAAAGCATCTTCGTCAAAGTCCATGAACGCACGCTTGATTGCGTACAGTACGGACATTGCGCTTTTTGCCACCCTCGAACAGTGGGCGGATGGTTTTAGGGAACTCGTAGTCAGCACACCGAGGTCCCTCTGGGCTTCGACCTCTCGTAGGGCTGCACCGCCCAGAAAGTAGTTTCTTGTGCTGGCGGATCTCGCTGTGTGGCCTAGGCGAAGTATGCTACATTTGGCAACGTTGGATTTCACTTACTGTACTATGCAACCAACTAATTAACGTCTTCTTGCAGTTTCTGCGCGTCATCAGTAAAACTGATTGTTATCCAGATTTTTTACCATCTGCAAACATGATCTTTTCGCATCGCATCGTCTGTACAGACGAGGAGTAGGAGAGGACTCTACCGCACCCCGGGAAACACACCATTCTATTGGGATTCATTCGGATGTAATTATTCTTTGTTGCCTTCATGACGGAAAACTTCTAATTAACCTAAAAATGTTGCCCTGGACTCCACACTGTCAAATCTTCTGCAGAAGTCGTTGACAAGGCATGCCATCAAACGCCTTTTAAAGTCGAAGAAGATGGCATTAATGCACGACTCTGCTCCGTGACATTTGTGCATTTTTCCTGTGAGTAATGACCACCCATGCGACATGAGTGATCACGACGAATTCTGTACTGGGCAGCACAAATTAGGCTCCTCGACTCCTGATACGTCATTAAATATCCCATGACCTTACACGCAATGCATGTCAGACTAATAAAACGGCAATTTTCGAAATCCAGTCTGGACCGTCCTTTTTAATTTGGGTAATTGAGGGCAGTCTTTTATTGCTCCAACGGTTCACCGTTATCCATGGGCTCTTGAAATATCATAGAAACTGGCTCGCACAATATGTCGTCCGCTTTTCGAAGGGCAAGTGGATGCATTCCATCAGGACAAGGGGATTCGGCAGACTTCAGTCGGAGCAGTTCTAATGTCATCTGTGTAGGCGAGAAGTAAAGTTTATCTTCTAGTGCAAACGATGCAGGATTTAATTGTTGTTCTGAGTAGGGGAGAGGAGGAGTACTAGTTTCATGAGTGAATACTCCAGTCTACATGCTGATATAACTTGGCTTATGTACATGGCCCTGGCGCGGTTTTTGGACTCTGCGATCCCTCTAGGCCTCCGAGGCTAATAGTTGCATATAATACCTTTCGCGAGATTTTTCGGCTTTCGTAAAAGTGACTAGTAATCACAAGAAGATTCGACCTTCTCACCAGTTTTCCTATCCATAGTTTAGGTCTTCTATGCTTACAGTTTGCTCGTAGGAACAACACAAAAGTCACGAATTCTCTGTCAAATATAAGGTTTGCTTCCAAAAATTTAATGGACTTGGGGAGAGGAATATCCTACAGTTGTTGTCTTCTGAAATTGCTTGATTTGCCCCTTGTTGGTACTTCTGGTTGTAAGTAAAGTTGGTCTGTGTCAGCGGCTGAGGACGTCGGTCAAATGTCTGATTTTAGGGACTCCGAGGCTTCTGAGGCGTCGGAAGACGAAGGAAGTGAAAAGAAATTTACGAACGAGAATAAGGCTGATTTATCAGTCTCATCCGACAGTGAGGAAGAAGAAGAAATTCCAGACGAGGAAGAGATATGTCGAAAAGAGGGGAAGGGTTGGATCGTAAACGACGACGAGGAGGAAGAGGAAGGTGGTTCTGATTCCGAAGAAGGCAGCAATGCCAGTGATAAATCCTTGGAGGAGGAAGGAGGAGATGATGACGATGACTTGC